AAATGGAGGAGCCATGTCATATGATATCAGTATCTAACTCCTTAGCAACTAGACAAACATTGGGAGAGGAGGCTCATGCTCCTCCATTTGTCTGCAGATAGGCTCTCCATCAATTAGTATACTATAAAATGCTCCATAGATGTTCATTGTGTGAATAAATACAGGAATTAATGTGTACACTTATTTTGTATAAATTGAATGAGTAACAGACTACTTGAAAATTCTCTGCGATCACTTATACAAGCTTACACATGAATTCTAAAAAGCAAATTGTGTATCTCTTTATGAAAGGGCGAGGGCTAGGCCCTCCACCTTGCCCCAGGGTAAGGGCTACGTCCTCCATCTTACCTTGGCCACGTGTGTCTTCCCGGAAGTCTAAGACTCTGCTAGCCACACCCAGGAACAAGACATCGACTTGCGCCTGGCCAATCGGCAGAGCACAGTCCTTTCTCCTCCCCTTACTCCAACCCCCTCCCCACTGAAAGATATATAAGATATGCTTAAACTCTTAGTCGGGGCTCACAACCGCTACTCTGTGCTCAGAGTGAGGCTGCGAGTCCCAGCATGAATGAGTAACAGACCACTTGAAAATTCTCTGCGATCACTTATACAAGCTTACACATGAATTCTAAAAAGCAGGGCGTTACATTTAATGGTGGATACCAATTCAACCGCATGTTTATGGAGAATTTCCCATTCATAAGTAGATCTTCATCATCTTGCAAACTGACGTGTGATGGTTCTTACAAGGAACATCATTCCAACCCCACGAGCTTTGTGAAGGTTTATTCAGTATAATACAGCTCAACAGGATCATTGGGTTCACCTGGATGCCAGAATCTGAAAGGGGAAAAATGTGGATATGTCTTCAAATAGTTAGAAGGACTCGCAGTGGTTCTCAACCTTCTGGCCCTTTAAATACAGTTCCTCATGTTGTGACCCAAACATAAAATTATTTCGTTGCTACTTCATAACTGTACTGTTGCTACTGTTATGAATCATAATGTAAATATCTGATATGCAGGATGGTCTTAGGCGACCCTTGAAAGGGTCATTTGACTGCCAAAGGGGTCTCGACCCACAGGTTGAGAACCGCTGGCTTAGAGACAGTGAGGTAGGATCTCCAGCCAAGTTCTGTCTTTTATTGTCTTGTTACATCTGTATTTATACCAGTTGATTTTAATCCTATCAATTTCTATTCCAAGGGTTAGGGCGTTTCTTATCTCCATTCCAGGGAGTAAAGATTATGTAGCTTAAGGGTGATTGTTCATAGTTAAAGTGATTAACTACCTGCCTGGCATTTAGTTAAGGGATTTTATTCCCTCCCTAACTTCAGGGAAAAATCCCTACCTGGGGAAACAACCTTTCTTGGAGAGGTGACCTTGGTTAAAACACATAGCACCAAGAAGGTGAGCAAACATATTAAGAACAGTATGCCATATACGCCAGGTCCCTTGAAACATATGCTGTGCAGATGTTTCTTCCCTGCAGCAACTGTGTCAAGCAGCAAGGATGGACCAGCTTCCAGCATGAAGAGGCTTGGCTTCTCTGCTGTGGCCAGACCAAAGGCCTAGGTCCTGGGTGCCGGAGGAAAACCAGTAATGGCAGCCAGGGGAAGGAAGGCCTATTGCGCGATTTCACGAATCTTCATGCAACAGGCTTCTAGTTTATACATAATAACTAAAGCCTAGGAAGAACTTAAAGGTTACCACAGGAGAACTAATAGCATATTATGATCTATTTGTACAATAGAATACAAGTTAATAATAAAACTGAATGTATTGCTGGAAAAATACAAAAACTTGTATGAATGTCACAAACACGTTGAGCAAAGGAAGGTAGAAACAAAAGTGCAAACTTTATTATTTCATTTTTATGAATTTTTATAGCTGTCAAACAAATATGTTGATAAAAATCAGATCACTGTTTTCCTATGGTAGGGGCACAAGAGGATGGTAATAATGTAAATGTTCCTTATATTGATTGACATGGTGGTTACAGGTTTGTATACATTTCTCTAAATCATTAAGTTGTACTCTGAAAATGTTAGCATTTTACTCTGTGTAAATTAAACATCAATGAAGTTTGGTCACTAAAAATAATATCGTTTCTTACATCAGTCAAGATTCAATCAGGCTTAAATAATTAGCAATTCTATTAGCTTTCATCATTAAAAATGCAGAGTAGAATGTATTTCAAGAATAGTTGACTCAGTTGCTCAACAACACCCTTAAGGAACCAGGTTATTTCCCTTGGTCTACTTTGGTATTCACGGTGTTCCTGTCATCCTAAGGCAAGTTCCCATCATGATCACAGCATGACTATCAGTAGCAAGGAGAACTACATACTTCTCTGTTCATACTCTTGGGAGAAGGGAGATAGGTCCCATAATTTCTCTGAGGAAAAGGAGAGGTATAATTGCAATTTGTGCCTATGATTAAACAAACCACTAGGTTGTTATTTTGACCACCTTGGATTGATTAATCAGTATTCACCCAGGGAGCTGAAATGAGGTTAACATCCCAAGGCACCTGGGATGCATGAGGAAAGTGACTCTATAACAACACTGAAGTGGGAATTTGGGATTTTCTCTCTGTTTCTGGGCTATATGGTTTTCTCTGAGCTACTTTGTAGCAATTTGGGAGTTTTGAGCACCACCTTCTGCTTGAACTCTTTGGGGATGGAATCCAGGAGGAACTTCAGCTGTGACTAGACTTCCAATGGACTCACCAGAGAAGCTTAACCCATCCTCAACCAGGAGTTTTCTCAGATGCCCAGGGAAGAAGATTCAGCTAGCACTCAAGCTGTCTCAGAAGTACTAGCAAAGAATCCTAGTAACTTGACTCTCAACCCTAGCACCAAATTTCTTTCCTTCCCTTCTACCAAAACATTCACCCCAACAACAAAACAGATGCAGAAACTTAAAGGGATCTGGACTGGGGCTGACTCAAAACCTGCTCTCCATGAGGAGGCATGGAGCGAGGACAGTGGCAAGTGTTAGGAAAGAAAGTATGTGAGAAAGGATGTGAACAATGACTGAAGTTATGACATATCACACCAAGTTTCTGATTCAATCAGAAGGCCCAAAGTTTAGATGTAGCTCTAGTTATTGCCTATTACATGGAGATTCTTCTGATGATATTATCATTGAGAATATCAACATGGAGTAGATTTAGATAAAAACCTTATTCTTGAACTTATTTGAGTTGTAACAAATTTTTGATGTGCTATTTCAATTTTTAGTAGCAAATGTGTGTATAGCATATATTATTAAGATTTGAGCATCTCTGAGAAAGTAAATAAATAAAATAAACAACACTGAAGTTTTGTTTGCAAGGAAGAGGGATAAATAAAGAACAATATGCACCAAAGTCATAATTATAAAATACCATTTGCAACTATTTTAACTTATAGAACATTTCATTTTGTGGACAGAATATGATTAATCAAATTCTTATAATGAACATTTGATTTAACAATTGAATTGTCACATTGTTTCTTCCATCCTGGAGTCATTAAATTTATCTTCGACAAAGTGTGCCGATTTGATGATTTCCATATTGGTAAAAACAGAACTGTTAATGTTTTGGTATTGAGATCATGTACAAAAATTAATATTATGCCAGCCTTAAAGAGTTGTCAGGTGTCAGAAGATTCCCACCCTTAGAGAAACCATTCAGGTTGATCATTTTAATCCCAGTGAGAACAGAATCTTCCCAGTACTGGACATTCCAGAGTTTCTGCCTCCTCTTCCATTTACTAAGTGGCAGTTTGACCTAAAGAGCTTGGAGCATTGGTAGACTTATTTATTTATATGTGCATTTTTCTACAATAGTTATCTCAAAATAATTTTTTCTTGTACATCCTTAATAGTAGAAAAATTACTATATGAACACTTAATATTGGATGTGTATTTAAGAGCCACAGTTATGCCTAGCTGGCGTGGCTCAGTGGTTGATGGTCGACCTATGAACCAGGAGGTCAGGTCTTGATTCCAGTCAAGGGCACATGCCGGGGTTGTGGGCTCCATCCCTGGTAGGGGGCATGCATGAGGCAGCTGATCAATGATTCCCTCTCATCATTGATGCTTCTCTCTTTCTCTCTCTCTCTCTCTCTCTCTCTCTCTCTCTCTCTCTCTTTCTCTCTTCCTTCCTCTCTGAAATCAATAAAAAAAATATTTAGAGAACTAGGCTGGAGAACCTGGCTAGGCTGCTGATCAACTGAACGCTGTCTCTGTGTCATTCCTTCATTCTTCGCCAACTCCGTCCACACATTTGGGAACCCCTGGACTTGCTGGGGTTTA